TCAATATACATAAATAAAAAATAAATAAAGTAGTAGTCACAAAAGAACAAGATGCTTTCAGCAAGCTCTTACATCATCATTCCTCTCAACATCAATTAAAAATAGAGGAGGCAGTATGTTGTGCACCTGTACATGTAGAGAAGGAAAGAGGGGAGAATTACCCGAGTTGTTAGTAGGGTCAATCTGCTCTAATCAACAGAAGGATGAAAAATGGGGTTTATCACTTTAGCTTGCCAAAAGCAAGCAAAACTTTTTCTACCTCCTGTGTACAGCTAGTTACATACTTTTATCACCTCCTGAAGGAATTAAAATTTAAGTTTTAGAACAATTCCTGTAACATCTAACCTAGAAAAAACTTTTAAGTAAAATATGAAGCAGGTCATATTTCCCCAAGCACCCTGTCTAAATTTCTATAGGAATAATCAAAACCCAAACAGAAGACGACATCTTAAGGGCAGAAAAAATGTATTATCATACCAGCTAACTGTGCAATTTTCTGCTTGGCCGCAAGCAATGTCTTCCTAGTCTTCTCTTCCTTCTCAGTGATCTGTTGCCTGAGCTGTTCTTCCTGTGTAGTCTTCTCTTGCAGATCTTGATGAAAGCGAGCAACTTCTGACTGTAGCTGTGTTATCTGCTCCTGAAGATTTCTAACTTCGGTTTCCTTTTCTGCTATAGTCTACCGAGACAGACAGACTGCAACTATTGGCCACAACCAGCTACTTTGGCAAATATACAGCCTAACAAGCTCCAAGGACCTAGTATTAAGGTTAAAAAGTTTCTAACCACCAACATGGGAGTCTAGTCCTCTTTGAATGTAACAGTGGAGAGAATAGCATTCTCTTTCCCACTTATTCCAAGAAACAACGTGAGACACACTACACACACGATTTAAACCAGGTTTAAGGTCCCTCCCCTTCCAACAAGGTAGAGGCACAAATAGGTCACTTCACATATTTCTGTGCATGCATGTGCACACACACACACACAGAAAAACACCCTCACATTCTTTACAGTTACGTATTTAAGATTGTAGCACAGTACTCTGAAATTGTTCACTGTTCTTACCTTGTTCGTTCTGTTCTTACCTTCTGTAAACTTTCAACCTGAGTCTCCAAAGCCTTTGTCTTCACTTCAGCTTGACTGAGAGTGTCTTTCAGCTCTTGTACTTCCTGGACAGAAACTTGTTCTTCTTGTTGTTCTACAAAAGACTGAGTCGATGCTTCGGCAACCATCTGAAACATGTCAAGTGGTATCAGGCTATAACATACTATCTGATTAGAATGTCATTGCTTTCACAAGCTGCTTTTGCATGCAAACTGATCGTTTAAAACGTTCTGGGAAAAACCCAGGAATTCTAAAGTTTCGTCAAGAGTACTGCAAAATATTAAGTGATATGCAGCTCATGTTTTGTAGCAGTTTGAACTAACAGCAGAATAAACAATGTAATTTTCTGCTTTTCTCTTCACAGATAAGTATTCATACAGTGCTATACTAAGGGAATGTGAAGATCGTTAGCTAGATTATACGTGACCGTAGATGAAAACATACTTTAATACATTTTTCTTTGTTTGCAAAGAAATTCTATCTACCTTATCATGTTGTGCTTTCAGCTCCTCATACTGAGTCTTGTACCTGCGCCCAATTTTCTTGACCTGTGTTATAGTTTTCACTTTTTCTTGTATGTCGGCCACTTTAGCATCTAGTTCTTTCTGCAAAGTATCCTTTTCCGTTCTTATTTTAGTTACTTCATCCTTCAGGCTCTGAACAAGATTCTGGCTTGTTGTCAAGGATGCATTAGTTCTAAACAGTAAGAGATTAGAGGAAGATGCAAATGAGATGTCTGAAATAATCAATACATTTCAATATCGCTCATTTATGGAACATCTGTAGTGAATTAGGTTTTCTAGGATTTTGCAATACAAATGAGTATTTGTAGAATACAAATGATTCCACAGCACATTAGTTTAAAATAAGCTTAGCTAAAAGACAGCTTCCAAAACAGTTCTCACTTCATTTTACCTGCATATTACCAAGCTACATAAGAATACCAAAGGTTTCATAGTTACATGGAGACAGTTAAGAAATTACAGTTCCAGATACAGCTTTATTTAAAGCATTTTGCTCTGCACAAAACTTTTTACTAATTGACTTATACCACACCTTGCTATTTCTGCTTTAAGCCTGCCTGTTTCTTCACTCATTTGCTGTATACGCTTGGTGTTTGCCTCCTTCTCTGAAAGCAGCTTCCGATACTCTTCAAGATCGGTGTCCTTCTGTTGACTCAATAAATGCTGAAAGGTTGAGAAAATACTTTGCATTTTCATAAGACAATTACACAGCTATGTCCAGAAAATATCTTTGAATTAGAGCTACTGCTTTTGCATTTTGATCTGGAATGCCTATGAATCAGGATAGCCTGTTCTGAAGCTGCATAAACAATGCTTTATAATTCAAATACATGCCTTAGTTTGTTTTTGTTTTTAAGAAAATGTAGAACTTTTTTTAGTGCCCGTCCCCCCAACATCTTCTTTGAAAACATGCATTCCCCACCTGAGTCCGGGTTTTCCAGCGTTTAACATCTTCTTCCAACAGCTTTTTCTCCGCCTGCAACATTCCACTTTTCTCACTCAGTTCAGCATTAGACTCTTGTAGAGGTAGAATGTCTGCCTCAAGCTTGCGTACCTGAGAAAACACAACTGGGGATTAAACTCTCTGGATCTTATGAGACTGAAGGAAATGGAATATGGTAGGCCTTGAACAATGATAGTAAGAAGGACAGAGAGTGGCAAAACTGATACCCTCAAGAAGTCATGATACAGCTTCTTGTCCAACTCTGCCTTTCAGTGGCCAGCTGGGGGCAGGGAGAAGGACAAGGAGCAAGAGCAGGGGATGATCCTACAGAGAGGAAAAACATACAGGTACGACTTCACAATCTTAGATTCTCACTCTTTGTACTTTGGTACAGAAAACAGATTATTAATTACATTTTAAAATGTAATTTTATTGGATTGAATTGCACTGGATTCCATTAAAATAACTGCTGTGCAGAAATGGGAAGAGGCAGTATCTCCCTTTTAAACTCTTAATAAAGCTGTGGTCTGCTTTATAGGTATTCCTGTGCCATTTTTCATTTATCTGCTGATAATATCCTTTTTACTGGTATACCTCTAGCCAAGGTAAATGCTGATTTTCAGTTTAATTTAAATGAAACTGAACTTTAAACTTTCCAATGTTCTAGGTGGACCAATGTCTTCCGAAATTCTAAATTGGAAGTTTCCTCATTTGTGTATGACACAAAGGAATAATCACAAATTAAATCATGTATTTATTGTAATTATCAATGGTATATCCAGATGCTAACTCATCAGCTTGAATACCTGAAAAATTTACATGAGCTTCAGTACTGACCTTTGCTTGAATTTGTTGTAGCTCTTGTTCTAGCCTCTCCTTCTCTTCTCTTAGCATCTTGTTGGTTTCTATCAGTACATTCATGGTCTCAGTTTTTTTCATTAATTCTTCATGCTGTGCAATGGTTTTTGCTGTTACCTTTTGAAAAGATTTAACTCAGTCATTTGTTTTGCTTGCATATACATATATACTTACCTGGATCTGGCATAACACCATCTTGGAAAACTATCATGGCATTCAGTATGCCACATGTACATTCAAAACAAGTAAATATCACTTAAGGAATGGGAAATGGGAAAAAAAAAATGAGAGCAACTATCTTCATTTTCCCTGTTTATGTGACTTTGGAATTGCCACACTGCTTTGCAGGACTCAGAACAAGATCCTCCCTTTGGCTAGATTAGCAACCTTGGTTTAAAAGCTCTCGATTCTTCCAAAACTTCATTTTTGGGCACAGGCAGCAAAGACAAAGGGTAGACCATAGAGAACAGCCCTCTCTACCTATTGAAATCCTAGGCAATAATATCCAACCATACCTGCACCTTCTCTCTCTCAGCATTGAGACTGTCCTGCAGTTCCTGGAGTTCCCTTTCCAGGTGTTCCACTCTCTGACGATAACGCAAACTTTCCACCTGGGCCACCTCAAATCTAGTTTCTGCAATCTCCTTTTCTCGACGTATAAATCTGCAGTAAGAAAATGAACACCATATCATGTCAATGAAAATGCAAAACAAAGCACTTTTTAAGCTGAAGCACCTTATAGTTGAAGGTCTATTGAATATAGAAATTGGATCAGAAAGATCAAAATTAAAATCCTAGATAAAAATTCTTGAAAAATCTACACAAGCCCCCTAAAAACCACAATGAGAAAAAAATCACCACTATGAAACTTTCTTGCCCATCACATTTGCTAAAATCTGATTTAGCTTCCTGCCATAACTGACTCAGTTTTTTCCTAGGAGCAGAAAGAAAAGTCCTCTATTAGTTACTAATTTATTACAACCACCTCCCACCTAGCAAAAAAGCACTTAAATTTTATACATTATCCTTCAAATATACAGAAATACAGAACTATTTAATTTGGCAACTAATTTTAACCACCGAGAGAAGAAGCTCAGAGCTAAATTTACCTAAGAATTTCTAAGATTTGTTCCTGGGATTTGCCTTCCTCATTGAGAGAAACATTCACTGCAGTTGGCATAGCTTCCTTCATAGAAGTCACCATCTTATCACTCAGACTTTCCAGCTGTTCATGTAATAATCGATTTTGTTTTTCCAAATCTTCACAGCGGGATGCAAGTTTTGAAGCTTCATCCTACAACAAAGTTGTTCAATGGCTGTGAATTCTGTGGCTGGATTTCTGTTAACTGAAAAAACCCACTGGAACCATAAAAACAATCATACCTTGATCATTCTCTCTCTCTCTTCCCAGGAGGCTTTGCACTCTAACAATTCAGACTCAGCTTTCTGAGCAGTTTCCTCTAGCTGCTGCCTTACCGCCGTGTTCTTGGCAACTTGGTCTTTAATAGCCTGTAACGCTTCAACATCGGCAGCATGAAGCATTAATTCCCGTTCATACTTATTTTGAGCTTCAGAAGCCATCTTTGCCTGAAAAAAAATACAAAAAATAGATTGTTACCTTTAATGTTATATGTTTGATATGTACAAAGAGACTCTCAAATTCTAGCCAAAATCAGTGATTGCTAATCGAAAAGAAAACCACTGGCCAAAACCTCTGTCATTCTCAAGTACAAAAAAGTGGGTAAGCTTAGAACAGGTCCCTTAAAGAAATTATTATTTTAAAGAAAAATCAGAATTTGAAATATTTGTCTTTGAATGGATAGCAGGAGGACACACTATAGTTACTTTACAATCTACCTCTTGCTGTAGATTCTGCATGGATAACAGGCAGGCATTAGTCTAACATCCACTGGTTACTGCTACATGCGAATGGGCAAAGATATTTACTGCATGAGGTTAAAAAGCTAAGGACAGACTACGGTCATAGTGTTAGCTGAAAAAAAAGGAAATGCCTGTATGCTAAATTTGGGGTTGGATTAATCAACAGCCAAAAGTTCTTCTACATCCTTTACACTGATCAGTGTTGCTGGCATTCTCACCTGCAGAGAAGTAGATTCCCTTTAAAAAACAGCTGGTAAAAAAACAACCTTATCAGGTCCTGCTAAGTATTATATTGCCCCACAGTTTTAAAAAAAATGACAATGATGTTTCAGGTTAGAAGGATATTTCCCCCACTGTCTTGTTGAGAGAGCTCAGTTTTCTTTTCTGTTCCCCCCTCAGGAGATTGAGGTAGCAATTCATTAAAACCAGTTAATTACAATCCCCAATCTGTTTTTTTAGATAATGAAACAGCCCTTAGGAACAGTAATCTATTGCATCTTCAGCTGTTTTTTTAAACCTGCAACACAACTCTGAATATAAAGTCAGTCATCAGGTGTTTGGTCACAATCACAATGGTTGATCAGGTAGAAAAAGGAAGCATTAAGCAAGCAGCTCTTCAGAAAATAGAGAAAGAGCTCTTACAGCACTTTTCTTACCTCCACAAGTCTCTGGTTAGCAGCACTATCTTTAAAAAAAATTTTGAGTTCAACTGAAAAACAATGAAAAACTAACATTAAAGTTCACCACCTCTAGCTAAAATAGGCAAATACTACACACATACTTGTTCCTGGCAGTCACGTCTGGCTTGTTGTTCATTATTTAGAGCTGTGCTGGCTCTCTGAAGGGCTTCCTGAACTTCTGATTGCACGGCTGACAAACTCTTCTTTAGGTCTGATAGCTACAGTGATGGGGGAAAGGGGAACAACAACAAAAAAAACCAAAACAAGAACAAAACCAAGACTAAATGGCAAAGTATTTTATAAAAAGAGTACTGAACACAGCAAGGCGTTGAATGTAGACAGTCATGAATAATGTAGAACCGAAGGGTGGGCTTGGGTTTTTTTTTTTTTTGGTTGCGTGGGGTTTTTTTTTTTGTTTTTTTTTTTTAATACTAATTTTAATGTAAAGAGAAACACTTTCAAGATTTTGACTTAATATGCAGAGCGCTTTCCTGGTAAAAATACATTACTGCTCTTTCAGAGTTAGGCCTGCAGTAATTCTAGTTGCAGTCACCTTGTTTAATTCAACCCCAGTAAGAGCCCAAATATAAACCAGACAAATAAGGGCATAGACCACTCTGGTTTTAAGATGTCCATGGTAAAAATCTGGTTTTGGTAATTCGCTAATTTGGCTAATGTTCCAGAAAGGGTTTTCTGAAACCTTTCTCAAAGGCTTTTACGCATGTTTTTCTGCAAACAGTGTTCAAAGTTCAGGAAGATAGTGACAGCTTTAAATACACAACCAACCTAACAAAGTGATAAGGTTAATGTACTACTCATGTTTGGAAACCTCTCACAAATTTAGTTAGCTTTTTGTACATCCTAAAAGATTTAGTTTTGCACACTACTATACTGTGAAAACAAACGGAAGTTCAGGAAATTATGTAAAAGGACATTCTTATTGACTCTCTACAAGGAAGTTCAAGGGAGGGGGCATTCAGTGCATACCTGTTGTTCCATATTCTCCACAGCTTTACGCTTCTCCTCCTGCAGTTCTTGCTTTTCTTTCTCTGACTCCATCAGCTTCTTTTCTAGCTGTGCTTGATACTCTGAAGACTCCTTCAGACGAGCTTCAACTGTTGCACGAACTTCCTCTGTCACCTTCATTAAAATGCAAAGGGATAATTTTTTTCCCTTTAAATACAGTATTCTGATATGAAATCACTATTTTATTAACAATTTAAAGCCAGAATAGGTATTCTCAGCATCTCATTTGGAACAACACTGAAAATGTGGAGAATCCCAAATAGCACTGACAATTTTTTTTCTTTTTCTTTCCCCCCTTCAAAGCTGCAATACCTCATGAAGTACACCTAAGAAGAGTTTTAGGTGACTGCACTCAAATGGGCAGTAGCCAGCATATCTTTTTATTACACACTAGAATCTGCAATATTGTTAAAGCATATCACGCCACGATGAAGTTTTTACAGTAACAGAACACAGACAGGCAGAGAACTTGTGTACTAGACAAACAGCACTCCATCGTCTACTGATGCTGTAACTTCAGTAGAAAATGAGAATTCTGTTTCCCCAATCTATCTTATTTTTATATGCTGAGCAGCCTGGAAGAACAGGCTTCATTTGCTATTAACGTGGCGGAGTGTATGAGAGATAGGAAGGTCATTCTTAAGCTTTTCCCATGAATACCACATAGAAAATGTTCCTTGGCATCACTGAAGACCTTACTGATGCAGAAGGTGTGAATTCAACTGCTTTTGATTGAGAACTAATTAATATTTTTAATCATTAATTACAAGGCTATAAGGAAAGAGTTTTTCAACGTCAATTCCCCTCTTTCAAAGGAACACATTGGCAGAATCCAGCTTTGAGTCAAATGTACAATTCAACATTTTAAAAATATGCTGCAAAATGTTTAGTATTTCTATGATTAAGTTTTTTTAATAAAAATGACTAAAATATGGTCTACTACATTATAATCTTCTAAACTAACTCTAATTTTTTTGTAAGTCCTCCCATAATCCTACAGACTGTACTGTAGTACAAAAAAAACAACCACCCCAACCCATCTTTCATTTATTTTCTTTGTTTGCTCTAATAAACAATAGTTAACTACTTACTTGTTTTTCCTTATTAAGGGATTCCTCTAGACTAAGAACCATAGCCCTGTACTGTTCCACATTACTAGAACTAGTCTTAAGTCTTTCTCTCAGGTCATTAACTTGTTCGTCAGCTTGTCTTAGTCGACTTACAAGATCATCCACATCTTCATTTGTACTAGGCTGACCTGTAATATTAGAACACATTCATTAACTGATTACGTTTAATTTAGTTTTGTAAACCACTACTCTGTTGAAAACGAAAGTCTTTCTAAGATAGTAACATGGAAAAAAAAAATCACCTTCACAAAGCTTCCATAAATAAAACTGCCAGCCCTAACCAAAACAGTGGCTTGCAATAAACTTTGTTGATTCAGACAAAAAAAATTGGCTATTTAAAAATAAGTAACCTAATAGTCTTAAGTTCTTTCAAACAAAAATAGAAAGGATCCTTCAAGAAGTTTTGCTTTATTTTTTTTCTTTGTAAAAGACTGCTTGGACATTAACTTTACTGTAACAAATCATTCTGCTTATCATTTGTTTGAATATGTGACTGTAATAATGAAGAGGTCTATTATTAGTGTACTGTCCTCCTGATTCTAAATCATTATGAATTATGAAGTTTACCATTCTGCAGACAACAATGTTTAACATAAAATTCAATGTAGAAAAACATCTTACCTTTCCCTGGAGCCTTCTGTGATGACTGAGATGCTAACTGAGCCTCTGTATTGTTAAGCTGCTGTTTCAACATTGCAGTTTCTTTCTGGGTATTCTTTAAAAGTTCCTTTGTGTTAATGTGACGGTTTGACTCAGTCTCCAGTTGCCTCTTAAGATCCAGGATATGAACCTGAAAACACAAGGTTCTTAAACTTGTAATCATTCACAAATGGCACGAAGACCAAATATGTTTATACATTTCATGTATGAAAAACAATGCATTGTGAGCTGGCAGAAGCCATGCAACTGTGGCTTTATTTTCACTGAAACCAGTTTAGCATATTTATAATCATACTTACCTCTTGATTTTTGGTAAGGGAATGTCTTTGTTCCACCTCACTTTCTAGTTTCTTCTTCAGCTGAGATATCTCACGCTCTAGCTTTTCTATCTGATTATTGAGTCTTTGTTTTGTTTCTGTCTCAGACCTCTCCAGTATTCCCTGATAAAAGAGCATAATGCGTTATGCTTACAACACACTTGAATAATTTTCTTCTGAATTACTGCAGCATTTCACACAAAGTTGTCACAACACTTCTCTCATCCACAAAGTAATTACTGCAGGAAGCAATCAATAACAGGTAGATACAGAAAATTATGAAAAGTAGCACTTATAATGTATGACTTAATTTTGAAAGATTTTTTTAATAATATTGATACAGTAAGTATTATTAGAAGAAAATCTATTATACATGCAGTCTAATTCCAGGGATTAAAAAAAACCTGAAAAGATCTACTACAGAAATAAATTCAGTCACATGGTAAAATGCACAACCTTCATACTCTAAGAGTCAATATGCCTTATAATAGAAGATAATAAAAGCATAAAAGTAAATATACCTTAAAACAACAGAAAAATAAACAATCAAGGCAGGCACTGGTAAATTCTGCTATCATAAAAATTAACATAGATTTTTTTTTTTCCTTTCACTTTGTTTCGTGTGTTTTATTTCCATCTTATTGTGAAAACCCTTTTCAAACTCAAAATTCTCAGGACTTTGCCCATGTAAATAACAGAGTATTATAATTCAGGACAGGAGTAACAAAACTTGCTTTAAACAAGTTGCTCAAGTATTTTATGTTCAGCTCCAATTTGTAACAAACAAACAAACAAACAAGAAATCCACTTTAAGACCCAACCCCATGACTGTTTTATTCCATTTTGATGGGTATTTATTGAAAACGCTGAAAGACAGACCAAACCTGGACATAAGAGTAATACCACATACCTGAATAGTTCGCAAATTAGTAAGCAGCAAGTTCTGTCCTCTTTGTTCAACTAATAAAGACTCACGTTGCTGAGTCAAACGCACATCTGACATCTTCAAGATATCCTTCTCTTTTTTTAAGTTTTCTGCTCTCACCTTTAAGACAGCAAATAACAAGAACTTTGTTATCAATCCCAAATCTGTCCATTATTTTAACTATTATTTTTATGATCAGTTAATGCTATTTTATAAAAAGAGCTTTTAAGATTATAAATTGTAAATTAAAAATTAACGCAACTTAAGCCAAGAACAGTAAGAACACAATTGCTTGATAAATCACATTCTGTTTTCTCTGTAAACTGAAACACCTTTGAAATGTTCCATCTTCACTCAGTACGTGAGGTATTTTGAGGAATGTTACAAATGTACACACCGAATATACAAGCACACAAGCTTTTACAAATTTAATATCTGATGCACTCAAAAAGCCACACATTCAAGTTCGGACAGCTTTCAAGATAATCACAAGAAAAACTCTTGTGCTAACTTGGAATATCTAGCAGTACAATACACTGTATTACTAACCTCTGCCACTGCCAGTTTTTCATTAGCTCCCCTCAGGTCTTGAGTCATAGTATTAATTATCTGCTCTTGCTTCTGAGTTGTTGCTGTGAGTTTCTGGGTTCTTTCATGCAGAGATGTTATTTCTCGACGATAGCCTTCAACGTTATCCTGCAGCATTTCATAACTTCACATGGAATAACAAAGCAAAGTATATGTTTGCCACATTAAATTGAGTTTAATTGCAAGAGATATATGTACACAGCTGCATGTTTCATGTTCTTGTGCGTCAGTTTTCACAAATGTTGTTCACTTAACTAGAGGGTATATTCCTGATCCCACCTTCATTGTTTCCTTTGTGTTTTTTTAGCAGAATAGACAATATTAATGTTTAACTGGCAACTCTTCCTGAGCAAACAATATCAAGCAGTCAAAATGATTCTGTTAACAGAGAACACATACATAAGGCAATGAAATTAAACAGCTGATTTACCGTTTGGAGGCAAACTCCAGCTGTGTGGATATCTTTGCGTTTTGTGACCTCAAGTCTGTGACCTGCTCCTGAAGCTTTTCATTTTGTTCATTCAACAACTTGTCATTCTCTGCCTTTTCTTTTTTATAGTTCTCAAAAACTTCCTGCAACTACATCAAAGAACAGACTTTAAAGTGTTTACAAGAGTAAAAAGAAATAGTGATAGCTTTCTACAGTGTTTATTGAAAAAATATACCTGCTTAAGTGCAGCCTTAGCCTCCACAGTCTCCACCGATTCAGTCATTGACACTGGAGCAGGAGTTGACATGGCTTGAGGTAAATTTGGGCGCTTTGGAGTTGATGTAAGAGAAATCTCCTCTGATAATATACCCGAAGCTAAAAGAAGATAAAGTGGATTTTAAAGGCAACAACTGAATGAATGCTTGCCAAAGCAGAAGATCATATAACCACACTGAAATATGGCTAAAAACAATGCTGTATTGCTAGCAAAGTCTTGAGCTCTCTGAGAAACTCATTCTTTATGCCTACAATATGCCACCAGAACACACATAGTCACCACAACACATCAGTCATTATGTAGCAAGTTGTTATACTTGTAAAAATAAAATCACGTGTCCAAATCCAAATTTATGGGTTTTCCAGTGAGTAAAAGTTAAATACCAGATTAACAGAAGTTACTAGTACCATTACAGCACTATTACAGAAAAATCCTAACAAGTGACAATTCTACTATTTTTTCAATGGTGCAGAAATATGAAGCTTACCTTGCAAAGGAATGATAGCTCCCGTGGTCTGTGCCAACAATATACGGAACATATCACGCTGACGAACTATAGACTCAACAAGCTGCAACTGATGATGACGTGATTCACGCAGTTTTTCAAGCTCATTGAGAGCTTCCTCAAGCTGACTCTGAAGCTCAGAAATTCTGAAAACAACAACAGTTGTTTTCAGTAACATACAGAGCGAGACATACAACCCTTATGTTTTGTCACAAGTCCTTCAGTGTACATTTATTGCATCTTTTAAAAGTTAAGCACCACTGAGATTTCTGAGCAAACTTACAGGAAGATTGGCCTTTGGACTTGCCATTTTGCAGATGACAAAAGAAAGTAAGCCTCTTCCATGAAAAGCAGAGGCAATTCTATTCATGTGAATATAACTTCAAGCAACAGTCACTAGCATGAGCAGAGAATCAAGCTAAGAACTTTTAATCAGAATTACATTACCTGTGAGCTTTACAGCTAGTGAATTAGACAGGCACACATTCAATTTTTTGTTCAGCTAACGGGAATGAAAACTTACCCTTCTTTTTTGAAAAACAGCTCTGTTGTGTGAAATCACATTCAATTATTTTTACTTTGGATTTTGGTGGATCTATTACAGGATATATAGCTATTGAAGCCATTTTAATCTAAACCTGAAAACAATGTTGCTTATAACAACCTGCCTTTATGAACTACATAGCTGCTCATAAGCATATGCACAATTAACATATGCACACAATTAATAACAATCAGAAGCAAAAAAATGGAAAGTGCTTGAATAAATCCCTGTTACTACTTAGTATAAACAGTTTAGTAGAAAGAATAGATAACTAACTTAGATGATGTTGTTTCTTGCTCCTCTTTTTCTCTAGCCTCTCCCAGCTCCCGAAGAGCCACCAAGAGACGCTGATTCTGCTGCTGAAGTTCTTCAATATTTCTATAAGAGACTAGATGTTGAGATATCACTTCAGAAGAGCTACTGATGTCAGCAGAGCTCACTTCTTCGTCACGAATCACATGATTGCCTCTGGCTTCTTCAAGTTCCATTAAAAGCACACGAATCTGAAAGAGAATGCTCCGGTGTAAAAACTTGCACACCAACTCAAAAGTTTGCTCTGAAAAAGAATGTATTTGAAATAAAGTACTTGGAAATCAAGTATTTTTTTCTCTCACAATATCCAAACTATTACAATCAATAAATCCTTTTAAGAGAATTACATTATGGAAAAAACAGTGACAAAAGGAAAGCATATCAAAATCAGAAGTAGATAGTATGTTTTTAGTTCTGCAAACAGACCACAGAACATTCCAATCAAAGAAGTTACATATATGAGTTTTCCATGTCAGATGTGTAACAATATTATCCTAAAGCAGCATCATTTCCATCCAGCTAAATTTACTCCATTTTATAAGCAGAAATGTAAATACCATGTTGTCCTAAAGAGAAGCTTTTAACATCACTAAGGCTCTTATTACAACCAAAGTCTACATGACTGTGGCTGAACACAACTCCCAAGTAAACTTCTGAAATGCAGCACCGTATTAATAAATAAATTGCAAATAGTACATTTAACCATAGCAACATCTGTTCTACCTGCTGCGAGAGATCTTTTACTTGTATTTCCAGTCTCTGGTTTTCTCTTTCAAGCAAAGAGGCATGCTTATTGGCTTTATCGGCATCCTCCTGCAATCGCTGGATTTCCTGCAAGCATACAAACATTAAGAAACACATAGCAATTCAACTCGGACAACATTCCTTTCCAGAGAGATAACGTCATGTAGAGACATGCCTTGTGAATCAAACTGCGCTCTACTACTTTAAAGTTACACTCCAAAGGCTAAACTCCACGTATTTAGGAATCAAAAGGCACACTCTTCTCATGCTGTATTAGTGTATGTATTAAAACCACTGGGAAGTGAGCACCAAAGTTCAATTTTGTATTTTTGGACAGACAAATACTAACCTTTAGAAAGGTTTATAAAGAATCCTATTCTCTCAGAAAATCAGAGATTGTAAGTCACCACATTTAAACCTTCACTATAAAAAAAACACTCTAAAAATGGTTGGTTCTGTAAAATACTTTGTACAGTCCCATAAATTGCAGGCTAAAAAGTTCAACAAATATTTTCCCCCAATAAAAGTTGACTAAAAGATCCATTTTATACATTTACTAACAGCCATTAGGATTGAGGAATTAAAAATCCATTTTTCCCATAGTTTTACATACTCTTTTCTTTTATACTGACCTTCATAGCTTGTTCAAGCTTTGCAGACAGGCTAGCAACAGCTTTTTGGGAACGCTCAAATTCTTCACGCTGACGTTTTAAGATCGGTGCTTTGGCTTCTACTTCCTGCACTATTTCATCCAAATATTTATTGATTCTCTTATTCTCCAGCTTTTCCAAAAGCAACTGATCCTGAGTTTCTACATATGCATTGTACAGCTGCAACAAAAGATTTTTTAGTTTGGAGTTGTTCTTGTTTGGTTAGTTGGTTTTGATACATCTAGACAGACCTCTTAAGAGCTGCTGGTAATGATACAATTCCTATCTTAAAGCAGTGTAATTTTATACAACCCTAAATTAGTTAATTCAGAGAAACAAGCTGGACTTTCAAAACAATGTGTTTTTAGGACTCATACCATGGCAAAGCAGTTATCCCTTTTAATTTAAAAATGGCAAACTTTTACAGTGCAACTGTATGCAATAAAAGAATTCTATGTAAAAGTGACAAACCTTAAGCAAGTTTAAGACAATAGAAATATCAAAACTAGTATCACAAAAGAAAGCAAGAAGCACAGAAGAAAGTAATTTAATGGCTGGACAGAATGACCAGTAACAAACAAAATGAAAACACAAGTTGCATAAATAGAAGTGTAAAAAAAACCCTAGACTATGTATGACCTACCATTATGTTAATTTTTTCTGCAAGTATAAGCCAAATGCGCAGCAGCACAGATTAAAAAACGATGTAAGCAAAGAAAAGCTGCTGCCAAAAATGTATACAGAAAATAAGTTTCTGTGTACAAAACCCCCCATATTTCAGAAAAAGACCCTACAAATGTTTTGACCTACTAAAGAAAAACTGTTATGTTGAAAAAAAAATCCCAATAACTTAGCTAGTAAAGTCTGCTTCAAATGCCTGAGAAGATTTCATCAACTTCAGTCAGGCATTACACCAAATCCAAAACAGTGAATGAAGTCTACATCCTTATATTATTAGTGTATCTCTGCTTGCATTTCAAGAGCCTTGAACTTAAAAAGCTGCTTCTCACTCACCTCAGTTAATTTCATTCCAGGCTTGACTACTTTAGCCACTGCTGCAGCAGTGGGAGACATAGCTGCCAGTTCCTCCTCAGACAATATGGCTCCTGAAGACATAATCCCACCAATTACCATTAAAAAGCTGCAATAATCCCCATCATAAATATTCTTCATTAAATATAAAAAATGTCTTCATACACCTTTGTGCTATATAACTACTGTATTAAATGACTGTTTTAAGACTTTAAAGTTACTGGTTTAAGAGTTTTCTGTAATCTGTATTATACATATACATGTGCAAACAACTGGCATTCTAAACATTATTCCATGTCATATACTATCAACATCTCTGACCAGTTCAATCTGAAATGCTGAAACACTTTTGCTATTAGACTCCTAAAATTTAGATCACTTCTGAATGTAAACAATTGAAATAGCTGGAGCAAAGCTCATATTTCTTCGCAAACTGCTGGACGACTAGAGTGGCAGAGCCCAGGTTTACTTTTATTAAATGAACACAGAGATATAGCACATATACTTCATACCCCTCTGCTCCTTCCTGCTCTGCTCTCTCTTTCCTTTAAAAATTATTTATATACAGCAAACAAACTATTCTTTTCAACAAAAAATGTAGAACTAGAACAGTGAATATTAAGCAAGATTTAATGTTAAATAGAAATTTAAGGACAGAGGTTTGTTTTCTGTGGCTTTTTTTTTTTTTAATGAGGAAAGTAAGAATAGTTTATCATCCCCACTCCCCTCTCCAGAAAACCACTAAAACCATGATGATTCAGCCTTTAGGAAATGCTTAATGTCTCTTTTTTTTTTGAAAAGGTGAGCCACATTAACAAAAGAACTTCAAAAAACATTTTGACAGAAATGCATTCTCTGGTGTGTGTGTGTGGAAATATATATTTTCATATATACACACACACAAAAAAGATTCTAAAATTCATGATTAGAAATGACCAAAGATAAATTAAGATTAATGCACTTACTTCCTACAGAAATTCAGTGTAGTATTTTCACGCAAGATGACAGAAAGCCCAAGGGGTTTTTTTATTTCAGTTCCCAGTGTTATGCCTACCTTTGCGCTTCGTAGCGGACAGTAGATCATTAGCATTCTCCAGCTCCTTTTCCAGTTTACTGATCTTCTCTCTCAGTTCTTTTTCCATTACAGCTTTTGACTCTTCCACCTCAGTCAAATGTTCCTGAGTTGCTTTATTAGCTAAAATTAAATCAGACAAGCAGCGTGCTGTGTTGTGGTTGGTTTTATTTTTTCTTTTAAAAAGATGAAAATTTGCTTATGTACCTTAAATCTTCCTTTAATTTTATATGATCTGCAGAAGCTCATGCTGATACAAAAACTCAGTTGCATGACAGAAGCATGAACTGCTGCCTGTCACCTTTGCTTAGAAGAGTGTTAAAACACAAACTGTCCTTTTATCAGTGAAAAGGAATCTAAACCAAAAAAATAAAATACAGACATATCTTGCAAAATTAGATCCTTGCATCAAAATCCAAAGTAAAATTCCAGGTACATTTGAAAACAGCTCCCTCCCACTCCCCTGCCAGTAAATTCCACTAGTCCGGTAAAATTTTTGTTACAAAGCGACTGATGTTTCCACCATCCCCAAAGTCTAGTGGGGTTCCTTGCATGAACGCTCAATACCTATTTTTCAGTGCATTACAGTAGTTAAAAGAGCGCAACCGTTCTGTTCCATTCGCCATTTCTCACTCGCAGCTTACCTTCACCTGCTTCCTTCAGGAGTTTGTGCAGCTCTTCTACTGCTCCTGTCAGTTCATTGCTCTTTGCCTCCGAGTCATCGGCAGCACTCTGAATAAAAGCATTTTATTTAACCTTTTAGTACATAGCAATAGCAACTCTATTTTTATAAGAAGGCACAAACTGACCAAAAATTATCAACATGCAGGTTTTTTAAGTGAAATGCTAAAAGATTCATCTAAACTGGACAACTCTCTTTCCACTTGGATTACATCTCACTTTGATGCAAACTGCCCACCTGAGAGTAGGAAGTGTCAGATATTGATTTGATATGCCAAATCCAAATAAAATGTATGCCCTTTAGCTGCTTTATGGCTGGTGCTGGGTTTGTTCCTTCTCTCCACTAAAGAAAATGTGGAGATATTTTGAGTACTCAATTTTGATCCTTCTGAAAAATTCAGTGGTTTTAAGGAGTCTTATATAAACAGTTTATGTTTCTTTGCTCCCTGTCAGAGATCTCACAAGTGCAAGATTGTGCAACACTTTAGCAATTCTGCAAGTCCATTAGAGATAACTGAAATAAAGTTGATTCACCTTTTGCTAACCAGCTAAGTCTCAGAATAGGCTCCCATGGGAGGTCAGACAAATATGTCAGCGGTTACAAGTACATAGCAAACCTTAGGTTAAGCAGAAGACAAACCTTTAAGCCCCTTCAAATCAATGATTCTATAACAAAAGCATGAATGGGGTAAAATGGTAATGCATTATGCTCCAGAAAAGTTTGGTATTGACTTGCTGTTCAATGAAGGGGACATCAGTTTACATCTAATCAGACAAAGTATTAACGTAGAGCTCAGAATTAAGCAGGGTTGGATGTTTATGTGGGTATCTATGCAAGAAAAATCAGGAAACAGAACTTATTAACCTGTGAATCTAATATGTGTAAACTAAAGAGCAATCAGTTGTCCTCTTTGGCTTTGTCTTAGTCAATATGCTACAGGATATTTTCACTTTTTGAGGTGACAAAACAAACAACAATTACTTGTTTAGATGGTGGTTATTTGACACAATATATGACATTCAGCTGTGTCCTAATCAGATGCTAACACTTGCAGTGTTATTTGAAATGAACTTCTACTAACCAAACTCAGAAGACTCTCCTGCATAGTCATATTTTACATACAAACCCTTACCTCCCGGTACAACATCCTAAGACATAACCACATTCATACAACATGAATCCTCAAAAGAATGAGCATAAAATTAATATTTTACCCCCAGTTTTGCTTAATCTACAAAATGATCCAAGCAATGTAAGATTTCAAACGCTGCCTAAGACAGCAGCAAAGAAAACAATGTTTTGGATGTTTAACAGTGTTTTGCAATGAAATGCAAGTCTTCCCCACATCCACACTTTGGGGGGGGAGGGAGAGGGGAACCAACGAAAACTGGCCTGCATTACATTTAATGCCAAGATTTAGCCCCAAGTAATACTAACACACGCTTATAACAGAATCAATAAACTCACCTTATACAAATTGGATAATTTTATGTGGGCATTCAGTTCATTGTGGAATCTTTCCTCCATACTAGCTTGCTGTTCTTTTGCCTAGTAAATTAAAGAAGAGACAGGGTGGGGGAGCATTCCACTATTTCTATTTTACATATTTTGGTTTTTAATTTGTAGAAGCAACTGTAACGCTATCTCACATATACTTCAAGTTGTCTTACCTCCTTCAGTTTATTCAAAAGGTCTTCCACATGCTTCTGAAGATTTTCATTTGACTGTTTTAAGCTGTTTACCTGTTCCTCCATTCTGGAAACCTGTTCAAAGAATAAGTGAGAACACCATGTATAAATTTGTCTTTCCAGTCCAGTTTATTTTGGAAAATACCCATCTCTCTGTTTTTTACTTAAAAAAATCTCAAAAGTTCCAGAAAGAGCATAAAAAAATCCCAAAAGTTCCAGAAAGAGCATAAATGGTTACATTTCCTAAATCTTCGCTCCCATGCATTCAGTTAAATTAAAAAAGTGAGAGTCCCCAAATTGCTCCACTTATGCATAACCAAATAAACCCACAAGCCTCAGTGGAGCAAAGTGCCACAGAAAACCTGAGCAACTGTCACAGTTGTTAAAGAAACAGCGCAGGTACCCAAACAGAAGCTCCCTGAAGCAGAGTATTTTCAAAATACGGCCATTGACTCTGCCATGTATTTTGTAGCAGGAAAACAAAAATATCATCACCTCACTCTGCAAAGAATGATAAGTCAGATCCTTCTGCCCCCTCCCCTTATTAAAAACTGTATTCCCATACATTTTAATAGCATGATGCCATTATATAGCTTTGTTATCAGCAACTCAAACATTTCTAGCATATAATTAAAATATTTGACTTTTCTATTCTGGACAATGGTAACTATATGTATTCCTTAAAAAATCACAAGTTAAAAGAAAGAAAACCTCCTTATCAATTGCAAAACATACTTTTTTTGCCCCCCACTGAAATACAGTTATTAAAGTACTTGGTTTTGTTTAATATAGTTAATCAGGAAGTTCAATTTAGAAGAAATGGCAAAAACACTCAGTAACTACATTACCTCCTCCTTCTTGTTCTCCAGATTACATTTAAGCTCCAAGATTTCATTGCCTTTCTCCCTGGCAGTATGTAGAAGTTCATCTGTTTTGGCTTTCAACTCAGCATTCAGCCACGTGTTTTGATTCTGTAGTAGTTCTTTTTCTTGCTCCAACCTTTTCTCACGGTACTAAAAAGAAAATTGCATAGTGTAATTGTACTGGTTCGACAGAAAATAAAGAAGCTAATCAAAGTACTATGATCAGAGTAGGAGTAGCAAAAATGTACTGTAATTTGCTAAATAGCACCAAATGACAGGCAGTGTTCCTTATTACACCGATAACACTAACTTGCCACTCTCTAACAACAAGAACTTCTTGAAACTTGAATTAGTTTCCTCGAAGTTTACGTTAGCTGGGAACATTAACTAGAATAATACCTAGCTAAAGGAAAGAAATTAAGGTATCAAAGTTGTCTTCCTCTTTTCTCCTTTCCTCCTCTCTTTCAGCTCTTTATGGAGTTTATTTTGCCCACAGAGAAACGGTGTAGGTTCACAAACAACTGTTTTTCTCCTTTCTACCTGCCTTCATTGACCTGGACTGCTCATTCCTAGTGGGTAGGAGCAGCCATCATTGCCACCAATGAAGCACAGACATGCCTGCCCAACCTGATACCCCTTGCCTTCTATAAATATATCATAGAAGCACAGAGTCATTAAGGTTGGAAAAGGCTTGTAAGATCATCAAGTCCAACTATCAGCCCAACACCACCATGCCCACTAAACCATATCCCAAAGTGCCACGTTTTTTGAACACCCCCAGTGGTGATGACTCTACCACCTCCCTGGGCAGCCTGTTCCAATGTTTGACCACACTCTCAATATAGAAAATTTTCCTAATCTCCAGTCTAAACCTCCCCCGGTGCAACTTGAGGCCATTTCCTCTCATCCGAACGCTAGTTACTTGGGAGAAGAGACCAACACCCACCTCACCACAACCCCCTTCCAGGCAGTTGTACAGAGCAATAAGGTCTCCCCTCAGTCTCCTCCAGACCTAACAACCCCAGTTCCCTCAGCCGCTGCTCATCAGACTTGTTCTCCAGACCCCTCACCAGCTCCATTGCCCTTCTCTGGACACGCTCCAGCACCTCAACGTCCTTCTTGTAGTGAGGGGCCCTACAATGAACACAGGATTCGAGGTGCGGCCTCACCAGTGCCCAGTACTGGGGCACATCACTGCCCTACTCCTCCTGGTCACACTACTGCTGATACAGGCCAGGACGCTGTTGGCCTTCATGGCCACCTGGGCACACTGCTGGCTCATGTTCAGCTGGTTCTCAACCTGCACCCCCAGGTCCTTTTCCCCAGGCAGCTCTCCAGCCACTCCTCCCCTGTAGCGTTGCATGGCGTTGTTGTGGCCGAAGTGCAGGACCCGGCACTTGGCCTTATTAAACCTCATACAGTTGACCTCTGCCCATCGATTCAGCCTGTCCAGATCCCTCTGCAGAGCCCTCCTACCCTCCAGCAGATCAACACTCCCACCCAACTTGGTGTCATCTGCGAACTTACTGAGGGAGCACTCGATCCCCTCATCCAGTCATGAATAAAAACATTAAACAAGACCGGCCCCAGTCCTGAGCCCTGGGGAACATCTCTTGTGACCGGCCGACAACTGGATTTAACTCCGTTTACCACAACACTCTGGGCTCAGCTGTCCATCCAGTTTTTTACCCAGCAAAGACTACACCCATCTAAGCCACGAACCACCAGTTTCTCCAGGAGAAGGCTGTGGGAGACAGCCACGGCCACCCATTTTATAATAAAATTATTTATTACAAATAACAGGAGTACACCCGACCTACTTTCAAAGTCAATAATGACAAAACGATGATTACATCACATGTGAACAACTACTTATTAGAACATTAGCACGTACTACACATATGAAGTATTACTCACCTTCATGGAAACATCTGATGTTTGAAGTTCATCCAACTTTAACTGAAGTTTCACCTTTTCTGTGTTTGCTTCTGTAAGCTTTTCATTTAAGCGTTTAACATCCTCTGGAGGAAGGAAATCAGTGTTTAAAAAAAGCTAACTATAACCGTTCTAATTACTCAGCTTAACTAAATGGTAAAGAATGAGAACAGGCAAGATATAATGTATGTAATTGTATATTATGCAATAAGATATTGTATAATGTATGTTATAATCTACAAAACCAAGCACCAAACTGCTGTGTTTTTCTGCAATTAGCATGTAATTTCCTGCCTTGTTTCCTCTTCTCTAAATACGGTTTCCTGCTAATCCATTACTTGGTGCTGCCTATACAAACTGGATACCAGTTCAACTGCTCAAGAATGCCTTTTATTTAGCAAAATCATGTGAAGTATTTTGTTAATATGTTCTTGGCTATACCGTTTAAATGTTCAACTTCCTGAGATCGTCTTTCACTTGTTCGAACCAAATCTCTCTTTTCAGCTTCCAGTTCTTCTTTTTCTCTATTTAAATGGCTCTGAAAAAAATTGCAAAAGAGCAATAAAGAAATGCGATTAGCCTTCTGTAACAGTTTATAGTCACTATTTACACTTGCCATCACAGAGATGCATGCTAAACCACTGTAAGTTACCCCAGTGAACTGAAAACTGTGATAAGAGGCTTTTTATAGCAAGCAGCTGAATCAGCCTAAATGACACAGTTTGAAAGCATGGCTGCTCCCATTTCTTCTATCACACTGTGGTATAGCATTCAAACAAATGCAGGTCAATGTACCTCTTTCTTCTAGAGCCTAATAGCCAACACATTTCAATTAATGGTTTTTTAGCCCTGTAAGTCAGCCTGATGCTAATGCGTAGCTGGCCCTTTGTGCTTAAATACGAAATGGTACTATCACATAAGATTAGACAGCAAAGATGAGAGGGGTAACACACAGCTTTCAAGACCAGCATACTGAATAGGTAGGTTTCATGCCTTTGCTTTTCAATTGGCACCGAGAGATCCAGACTGCCATAAGACTCCCTCTGGCTCTAGCTGTATTTGAATGAAGATTAGAATGAAAATTGTTGATCTTAGAGCAAATGAAACAAACTGAAGGCCTAACAGAAATCCAAAACTGTTCAAAACTGCATCTAATTTTAATATTCTTTGAAAGACAGCGTTGATAGTTAAGACTTCACTGAAGCAGTTTTATTTGTTTAAATGAGAGAGGTAACGGAGTAACCAAGGAAGGAACACGTGCAAAAATCAGCATGGAAATCAAATAAAAATCAATAGTCTTGGATCACTTATAGGCTGTAGTATGGCCTCTGCCTTCTAAGGCATCAATACAAACCACTTCAGTTAGGTCCAGGTAAGTCCCTCCAGGGAAACAATTAGATCCGTCTTCTCACTGTGGACAAATCAATCTAATAATAATGTTTTTGCTTCCTGCTCCAAAATTAGTGTTTTGCTGGATCAGTCAGCTGCAGTGACTCATCTGCAGCCCCATGACTTTTGAGCATAATGGAAGGAAAACTGTGCCAGAGTGTGGGAACGGATGGGGAAAAAAACAGAACTCTTCTTTACACTTTTGTCCGATTTTTGAGGTTCGGCTTAAAGTCACTTCACACAGGTTTCAGCTGGAATGAAACAATCAATCCAAACTGAAATAAAAGCATCTGCTCTGATGTATGTTCACCTGTAATTCAGTTTGCTAAAACACCGGCATTTACTTTAAAAACCCACATAAATTTCCTCTACACACAGCTGTATGGACATGTAGATATGTACATCAGGACATATTTGCACCAATATCGATACAGTCCAGTTTGGAAACGGATTGTATTCTTTACTGCAATGAGACAGGTGAACAAAACTCTTTCAACTTATTGTCAAGTTCTTCCAGTACCTGAATGGCTGCATTACGATCCTGAGCAGCTTCAAGTTCTTTATTTTTCTCATTCAGTGACTTCAACTGTTCGTCTGTTGGGTAAGAAGAAATAGCAGTGAGGTATCTCTACTGTAACATAATGACAGAATTCATTCCATTCTCCAAATGCAATTAAGCCAAAATTTCCCTTAACATCATCAAAATAATAAGAACAAAAAAAGAGAGAGAGAAGTATTTAAGACTTCACTATGGATGGGCTAGGTAGTATTATGGCAAACTAATGTAATCCTTAGAGCAGAGACACTTATTGTGAAGATCAACACATAACCCACTGCACTATTGTTACTACAAAAATCAGAAAGCAAGTTGTTTCTTTTTTTCCATTAGAACAAAAATTCCATTTAAAAATGCTGACTTGAACACAAAAGCAAAACATCTCTTTACCTGCAGAAAGAACAAATGCAGTTGATGGATGGATTTTCAACTCCTATTTAAAACTTAAAGCATTTCAGCTTAACATTGAAGTAAAGAATTACTATCCTATCCAATCTTAAGAATGTGCAGTTATACTTACGAAGTTTTGTAAGCTCCTCACGGAGAGTTTGACATTCTTGTGTCTCATTTACAAGTCTCTCCTGACTTTGAGCCAGACGTTTTTCTACTTCAAAGTACTGTTGTTCTGCAAAACAACATTATCTCAATTTCACTTAATAAACATTTTTCTTTCTCACCTTTATCAAGGATCTTTATTAATCGACATCTTTATTAAATAATGGTATTTTTAAAGAAAATACCTAGAAATTATATGCCTACAGTAGAACTTGAAGAAAATAGTATTTTTGAAGGCAAAAAGATGCATCTCCACATTGAATTAACATTGTTTAAAATTTTTAGCATGGAAAGTGGCATGTTTCCAGAAATGATCCGTAAAATAATAGCCTATTTAATTTTAACAGGTAACATTTTTTTATGTAGCTAGAGAAAGTTGTATCAGCACAATTATGCAGCGTGGTCTCAGTTACATCAACTTTAAACTTGTTTTACCTGTAGTGTATTTCTATATACATACAATAAAATCTACATAGCCCTAGGTATCATGAGGTTTAATGTAGAAAATTTGTAATGAACACTTCTTAAACTGAAATCTCATGCTCCATGCTGTATATCCCATAGCACTGAAAAAAATAATTAGATCTAAATTTTGGTTATCTGAAACACTAACTGTGTCACAGACATTAACTGTTAAAAAAATCAGTAAAAGCAGGACTAATCTCACTCTCAGGCATAGTGAGCTTCTAAGGAAGGTTTAGTAAAAACGTTTTTATTTATTTTATGCTTCCTATTGTATCTTACAATTTCAAATAGTGCTGCCTCTCCAGCCACATATGAGAAGGGACCTGAGAAAGACTAACCTGCTAAAATCTGTGCATTACCTTAATTTGCACTACAGTTTATTAATTTACTTCAGCAAGATTTTTCTCATGAAAGAAACAGAAAAGTTGAAGGAAAGGTGGAAGTAAAGTTTATATCAGAAGTATGTCACCTACCCAATAAACTAACTCATATTCACAACCCTGCCCAGCACTTAAACTTATCTACACTTTTCTCATTCCTACTCAAGTTCTCTACTATTTTTTCTGTGATCCTGTGACCACGAAACCTCCAAATCAATACAAAAACATTGATTCTATCAGGAACATTTTATGGAAAGGTTATGGTCTTCAACATGGAATTTAACACAAAAAGTATAAACCTAAGGCTATTTAAGAGTTGGGTAAAAGAAAAATCATTATTTCTCTTCCATGACAAGGATCAAAGCAGACTGAAGCATATCAATGCTTGTTAAGAACCCAGTGAACATCTGTTCTTTAAGCTCCCTTTGAACAGTGTTTTGCAAAAGAAAAAAACCAGTCTCCTCTTGCGAAGCAAGAGCAAGAGAAAAAGCCCCCATCGGGTCTCAATTGAAGGGCCCCTTCCCAGCCAGGGAACCCACACACCCACCTCACAGGCCCCGGGTCACCGCCCGCTAGCGTTTTGAACAGAACGACCCGTCAGACCCAGCCCTGCCTTCCTCGCTCCTCTCATCAAAGGGGACCGCGACACTGCTACTCGCTAAAAGCCCC